TTTTGACGCTGTCCCTCCTCAGAAGTGTTTGCTTCTGATTACCCCCTCCCCCAATCTGCCCTCCCCTCTGTCATCCCCCTGCTCTCTTGTCTCCTTCCTCCCCATATTTTCCTGTAGGGTAAGATAGATTTCCGTACCCAATTGAATGTGTATGTTATTCCCTCCTTAAGCCAAACCCGATGAGAATAAGATTCACTCATTCCCTCTCACCTTCCCCCATTTCCCTCCACTGTAAAAGCCTTTTCTTGTCCGTTCTATGTGAGATAATTTACCCCATTCTACCTCTACCTTTCTCCTTCTCTCTGTATATTCCTCTCTCACCCCTTAATTTTATTTTCCAGATATCACCCCTTCATCTTCAACTCACCCTGTGCCCTCTATCTATATATATATACATACATATAATTTCCCTCCACCTACCCTAGTACTGACAAAGGTCTCATGAGTTGCAAATATATTCTTTCCATGCAGGAATGTAAACAATTCAACCTTAAAAGTCTCTTATGATCTCTCTTTCCTGTTTACCTCTTCATGTTTCACTTGAGTCTTGTATTTGAAAGTCAGATTTTCTATTCATCTCTGGTCTTTTCATCAAGAATGCTTGAAAGTCCCCTATTTCACTGAATGACCACTTTTCCCCCTGAAGGATTATACTCAGTTTTGCTGGGTAGGTGATTCTTGGTTGTAATCCTATCTCCTTTGCCCTCCAGAATATTATATTCCATGCCTTCTGGTCCCTTAATGTAGAAGCTGCTAAATCTTGTGTTATCCTGATTGTGTTTCCACAGTACTTGAATTGTTTCTTTCTGGCTGCTTGCAGTATTTTCTCCTTGACCTGGGAACTCTGGAATTTGGCTATAATATTCCTAGGAGTTTTCCTTTGGGGATCTCTTTCAAGAGGTGATTGGTGGATTCTTTCACTTTCTATTTTGCCCTCTGGTTCTAAAATATCAGGTCAGTTTTCCTTGATAATTTCTTGAAAGATGATGGCCCTTTTTGTGATCATGGCTTTCAGATAGTCCAATAATTTTTAAATTCTCTCTCCTGGATCTATTTTCTAGGTCAGTTGTTTTTCCAATGAGATTTTTCACATTGTTTTCTATTTTTTCATTCTTTTGGATTTGTTTTACAGTGTCTTGATTTCTCATAAAGTCATTAGCTTCCAATTGCTCCATTCTAATTTTTAGGGAGGTATTTTCTTCAGTAAGTTTTTGGACTTCCTTTTCCATTTGGCCAATTTTGCTTTTGAGGGCCTTCTTCTCCTCATTTGGCTTTTTGGACCTCTTTTGCCATTTGGGTTAGGCTATTTTTTAAGGTGTTATTTTCTTCAGTATTTTTTGGGGTCTCCTTTAGCAATCTGTTGGCTTGTTTTTCGTGATTTTCTTGCATCACTCTCATTTTTTCCTCTACTTCTCTTACCTGCTTCTCAAAATCCTTTTTGAGCTCTTCCAAGGCCTGGGACCAATTCATATTTTTCTTGGAGGCCTGGATGTAGGAGCTGTGACTTTGTTGTCTTCTTCTGGTCGTATGTTTTGATCTTCTTTGTCACCAAAGTAAGATTCTATGGTCTGACTCTTTTTGTGAGGTTTGGTCATGATCTCAGCCAATTACTTGAGTTATAAACTCTTTGTTAAGGTAGGAGTCTGCTTCCAGCGTGGAGAATGTACTGTCCCAAGCTTCAGGGGTTTTGTGCAGCTGTTTTCAGAGACACTTCTAGGGACCTGTAAATTTTCAGTTCTTCCAAGGTGCTATGATCAAGGGGAAGGTGTTTACTCATTTCCTGGCCTGTGCTCTGGTCTCTGAGTGACCACAAGCACTCTTTTCTGTCTTGAAACTGTGAGGAGGATTTCCTGTCCACAGCCACCACAAGCTCCAACATGCCAGGACTCCTCCTCGCCCCAGGACCACCACCCAGAACTGTAACCCAGATCCTAGGACGGGCAAAGCAAGAGAATCCTGCACCAGCAGAGAGATCCCTGCACTCCCCCTCTGATCAACCACTTGATTTTCCCTTAGTCTGTGGGCCGGAAGCTCAGGAAGCGGCCGCCGCCCTGGGGCCAAGGTTGGGGAATGGGGCTGGGACTGTGCCTCTCTCTCTCTCTCTCACCACAGACACACACTTTTCCCACTGACCTTCTAAGTTGTCTTTGGTGTTCCTGGATTGAGAGGTCTGGAAACCACCACAGCTGCCCACCATTCAGTCCTCTGAGGCCTGCTCCAGGTTCACTAAGGCCTGCCTTACCTGAGCACCCACAGGGAACTGCACTCCTGTCCCCACCCAATGCGATATACCTTTCAGATCAACCATCCAGGTTATCTTGGGTTGTAAATTTGTTTCACTTTGTCTTTTTGTGGGTTCTGCTGCTTTAGAATTTGTTCAGAGCCATTTTTTATAGGTATTTGGAGGGGTTTGGGGCCCTGAGGCCTTTTACCTCCCTCCTGACAGGTGATTCTCCCAGCCCATCGCCAGTGTCCATAAAGCTTACTTGTTTCTTTGGCCTTCTGTTCCCAGGCCAGAGACCTCACCCTAACTCCAAGCCCGGGGCCTCAACCTGAGGTCTCTGAACTTGTTTTTGTTTTTTTTAATTTGATGACTGTAATTCAGTATAATTTGTCCTCCTGTAATCCTATACTCCTTATTTTATACATTTAAAACCATGATTCTGAGAAGGCTCCATGCTCTTCACCGGCCTGCCTGCCCAAGGGGGCCAGGCCACCCTACGGGTGAAACCTCTAGCTTGTGGCTAGCTTCTTATTCTGACACCAGGTCACGGTTATATTCACAAATAGTTCTGGTGTTTCTGGGTCTCCCCATGGATGAAGGAGGTCGTAGTCTCTGCCCCATGGGTCTCCTTCCCAGCCTGGCCCCTTCTTATGCAGATGCATCTCTTCCAGTGAAAGGGCCTTTGCCTCTCCTCCTCATGTGGGGAATCAGAGTGATGACAAATCACTTTACATATTTACATACATTCCCTCACTCACTCATTCATATTCCGCCTTAAAGGTTTACTGGGCCAATCTGGAAGTGGAAAATTTAGATAAAACTAGGAACCAACCCAGTTTTGTGCCCCTGTCCAAAATGTTTTGGAGTCCTATCCCCATATCTGTATCTTCATTTATTTGTAAACTATATTTGTAATTCTATGTTAATATATCATGTGCATTATAAAACATGCAAAAATGCACGTTAAAAAAACAATGAGATAAATATTGTTTAGTCCTGTCTGACTCTTTGTGACCCCATTTGTGGTTTTCTTGGCAAAGATATACTGGATTGGTTTGCCATTTCCTCCTCCAGTTCATTTTACAGAAAAGGAAACTGAGGCCAACAGGGTTAAGTGACTTGCCCAGGGTCACACAGCTAGGAAGTATCTGAGGCCAGATTTGAACTCAGGAAGATGACTCCAGGCCCAGCGCTCTATCCACTGCACCACCTACTTGCCCCATGAGATAAACAGGAAATAAAGAATATTTGGGAGATTTATTTTATTAATGGTACCCTAAGCCCTTTTTGCTTTCACTAAAAATAGTATTAATAACAGTTTATCATATAAGATATATTATATAATAGTCATTAATAATATTTTTAGCAATAACTCTGGGATTAAAAATGCTTTTTTATTTTTGAAAATCTTGATTTGAAACTTTATTCAACAGTGATGATTCAAAGGTCTAGTTAATGAGGTCATACTCTTTCCCTTCTGGGTTATGAGGGCTGTCATAATGGAAAGATACTCTGCAAAAAGAGGTAGGTGCCAGTGGCCAAAGTACCAGCTAGCTGCACTGACTGAATCATGAAGCTCTTTTTTTATCCCATCCACCCGTCAATCAGCTATTTTTGCAAACAAATCGAAGTGGTAAATCTTATTTGAATAGGTTTTTTTTTGGTTTGTTTGTTTTAGAAAATAGGTCCAAAACCCACTGAAAAGCATTACTTGGAAAATTTTTAAAGCAGGTTAGAAAATTCTATTTCCACATTCTTTAAAAACAAGAGTTTTTTAAGTCGGTAAACATTTATTAAACTCCTACTGTGTGCTGGGTACTGTTCTAAGTACTGAGCATACAGAGGAAGGTAAAAGGCACATTTACATCATTTGGGACAACAAAAGCTTAGTTTTAAAATGTCTTGCTAATCATGGCTTTATACGGTTTGGTTCATTGTTATGCTCCAAAATCATGTTTCAAATACTCTTGATAATTTCAAGTCTTTTTCTCTGTTCTCTTGTCGAATATGATGAGATCATCAATTACAAATCTCGGGATGCTTGCTAGTAATACTAATATGTTGTCCTTATCTCATCTTTGCAGGAATCTCTGAAAGCCATTTGTTCATTTGCAAGGGTTAGTTGGGTTAGATGTAGGTAGGGCAATTTGTAATTCCTCATAAGCAGCCCAAGTAAGCTACCAAGCCCCCAAAGCAGTCAGGGCACCCCCTGACAACCAGCCCCTCTCCCTTGGGCCACCACATGTGACCAGCCAACATCGAGAGCAAGTAAGGGCCCCACTGGTCCGAGACAAAAAACCCTGGCTGTAAATCAGGGAACATCTAATGTCCCTTCAGGCTCTGAAACCTCAATCTTGCGATGATTCTGTGACCTGGTAAGGGGATAGTACAATACTAAGAAAGTGGTCAGGAGATCATAGAACAAGGTGATGAAAATGAGAACAGAGAGAATGGGATGGAGGTGAGAAATCTTACAGAGCTTTGAGTTGGAAGGGACCATGGAAGTCATCTAGTCTACCTGCCTTTTATGGATGAGGAAGCTGAGATCCAGACGGGTTAAATATAACAGGGCTGATCAGGGTCCTTGTTTAAACCAAAAGCAGGTTTTTTTTTCATATATGGGTTAATGAGGGGGCTTAACAACATGGTTGAAATTTTTACTTAGTAGTTTTTCCCAGCCAAATAATTTCTTTGAGAGATGTAAATACCCTACTGAACAAGCAAGCTTCCTTCGTGAAGCCACAACTCTTAACATCCTTTTCTCTAATGCATCTAGGGAATGGAAGAAATCCTTCGATGTTTCATCAAGGAAGGCAATGCTGAAATGATACGCCAGATTGACTTTATTATCAAGCAGCTTAATTCAGGTCAGAGGAAACTGTGGCTTGCCTCATCATGCTTTCCCTTGTGCTAGAAAGGTCCTCAGCCTTGTATGGAGACTAGAAGACTTTCCTAAGAAAAGCCAGCTGGCTGGGTTATTGAAGGTTGCAAGCCAGAAGCTATCATAAGCTTGTCCAGTTTGAAGTTTTACTAAGATTTCTTTTCTTTCTTTTTTTTTTGGCTAGGCAATGGGGTTAAGTGACTTGCCCAAGGTCACATAGACAGTAAGTGTCAAGTGTCTGAGGCTGGATTTGAACTCAGGTCCTCCTGACCGTAGGGCCGGCGCACTATTCACTGTGCCACTTAGCTGCCCCTTAAGATTTCTTTTTCTAGGGGCAGCTAGGTGGTGCAGTGGATAGAGTACTGGCCCTGGGGTCAGGAGGACCTGAGTTTAAATTCAGCCTCAGACACATAACCCTCACTAGTTGTGTGACCCTGGGCAAGTCATTTAACCCCAATTGCCTCACACAAAAAAAGATTTCTTTTTCCAATTCTTATGCTTCTGCAAGGTTTCAAAGAGAAAATATAGCGTTAAAGTTTCCCTCTGGGAACCAGATGTTTGACCACTGGGGATGGACGTGTGGTATTGAATGGTATGGCATCAAGGCCCCGGGCATGGGGTGAGTCAGTACATGTGGATCCAGCTCCATCCAGGGCAGAGGCTGAAGGCTCTTGGCACATCGTGGCTCTGGAGCAAATACTGACCCATTAGGCCTTGACTCCAAGATGATGATTTGGGGAGAGGCTGGGGTTAGGGTTAGGGCACAGGCGAGTTTGTTATTAGAAGTCCCTGCTTCTTTAGTCAAGAAATGGAGAGTCCGATGTCAATATGGCGTCTCCTTTTAGGAAGAGGAGCATCCCCAGAGTGGGTGTTGTGCACTTTCTTGGTTACAGAGGCCCCGACACCCTTTCTTTGATGATCCTCTTTTGGCATTTGACTCACCTTAGTACTGAGGAGCACTTTGCTACCTGGGCTGGGGTGTCCTCCCTGGCAGATGGCCTCTTTCCTGCTGCTCTCTGCTGGCCCTGTGTCCTGCTTCGCCTCCTCACTTCTTCATCCTGATTTTCACCTTTTCTGCCTTTGTTCCTCCTGCCCACCAATCTGCCCCACTGTAAATAACCCCCAGTCCCTCATCCTCTTCCCTTCAGGTCTTTATTCCTCCCCTGCATCTGTCCATCACCACCTTTGTTCTTCCTCAACAAAGCCATAAATGAACCACTCCGTTATGGTGAATGGGGATATTGTGGGTCTTTTCACACGTAGTTATGAAAAGAGGCCCTACTTCATTCTAGCTGCATAAAGGTGCAGCAGACAGCACCAAGGACAAGATTGGCGGCTTCTAAAGGATGCCCAGAGAAGTGCTGGGGGGTGAGGGCGGTCACCACTCCCTTCTCTTGTTGACTTTGTTTTTGCTTTTTAGAAGACCCGCTGGACACGACTCTCGAGTCTGATGATGAAGAGGAGGAAGATGATGAAGTAAGTTGAAAGGGGTGTTGAGATCGTATAGAAAACACTGACAGAACTTTGACTTTTGATATTGGGGCCTGGGATTTCTTTTCCTAATAGAGTTGACCCAAAAGTAGAGAACTGGGGTCCCAAAAGATCTCCCCAAGTTAGAACAATAGGTCAAATTTAAAGAGGTGAAATTTCACAAGATTATTTAATTCTGCCCCACAGTTAGATGTGAAAGAGATCTGAGGGTTTCACTGGACCACAAGCTTGTTAAGATGAGAACTTACTTAGCGTGATATGGCAGTCAACAACCCTGACTGGTTGGTTCTTGGACTGCATCAGGAGAGCCACAGCCCAGAATGGCATTGGCCCTGGTCAGATCACATAAGAAGCAGGTGTTCGGGGCTGGGCGCCACATTTTAGGAAGGTCATGGATGAAATGGACTGCACCTAGGGGAGGGTGGCCAGTTAGCGAATCAACAGACATTTGTTGAAGGTAAAATTAACAGAATCTGACTATGGATTGGAAATGGGAGGTGGGGGTGAGAGAGGGCTGGAGAATGGCCCTGAGGTGGTGAGTCCAGGGGAAAGGCGTGGGTGGGCGGGGGGAGACAATTAGTCCAGGGTTGGCCATATGAAGATTAAAACCAAATCATGACATGAAAGTATCTGTTGAAGCTGGAGAAGTGAAAGATCAAGAGGACAGACCAGTCCTCTTAAACTGGGAGGGAGTGGGGCGCTACCGCTACCCTAGGGAAGAGGGCCTGGCTTGTTCTTTGTGGCTACAGTGTATACAGCTGGGTGAGGGGAGACAGCCAGGTACATTTCAGCCCCACAACTGGAAGAATTTCCAAACTGCTAGAGTCATCTGGGAATTGAATGGGCTTTGTTGTAAAGTAGCGAATTCTCATCACTGCAAGTGTTGGCCGTTTGTCTGGGAATTTCTAGAAAAGACGAATGCATCGGGTGGAGAGATTATTCCATGGTTTCTTCACAGAGTCTCAGAACTTAAGAATTAGAAGGGCCATCAGTGGCCCTCTGGTTCACCCCGTGCTCAAAAGGTCCCCCTGCTATGGCACCCCTGGGGCGTGGTTGTTCAGCATCCTCTTTGGAGACTGATTCCTAGTATAGATTTCCTTCTGCTGTCCCGTTCATTCTCTGGCTTCCAGGGGACCAGATGCCAACCACCAGGTTCATCAGCCAGCTGGTTACCTTTATTTTCATAGTCTTTGTCCCTATATGCCTAGGGGGTCATTCCTGCCCCCGACTTCAGCAAGCCTGAAGCACCTATTGTGAGCAGAGCACTGGGTGAGGTTCTGGTTAAGATGCAAAGATGAGACTTCGACTTCGTTCTTAGGACTCCCCATAAGAGTGTGAGCAGAGGCCTATGGGAGGTCCCAGGGAGGAGAAGCCTTACCAATCGGTGGGTCTTAGGGATGTCTTCCTCTAGGAAGTGACATTAGAGTTGGCCTTTAAAAGCCATTGCGAGTGAGTGGAAATGCGAGACAAAAGGCATGCTTTTGAGCAGGGCAAAGAGGTCAAAAAATGTGGGCCATATGTGGGAAATGGGGAGTAAGCCTAGTGTGCCTTGGATTCACAGTGGGTGGGAATGATGTGACCCAAGTTTGGAAGAGCCGGCCACGAAGTCCAAAGGTCAAAGTGGCTTAGAGCCAGAGGTGAAGGGCGTGACAAGGCCAGGGATTCAGGGTTTGATTCTTGAGCCCCAGGGAGGACTGGGGAGAAGGGATCAGATGTCACCTCACCAGAGAGGCTGGGGACTGAGGCCTGTTGGACAGGCTGACTTCCTCTGCATCTTTGCTCCCCTGGTCACATAAGGTGGAAGGATGGATTCACACCCTGGGCGGGGACTTGGAAAACAGCAGCAGAGCTGGTGTAGCCTAGAGAGACACAGATAATGCAGAAACAGCCCAGGGGCAGACCCCCAGCAAGCACGTGCCTGGGGATATAGCCTTAAGCAGGCCATGCCCTGCCTGCCCTGGCCCAGCCTGAGTCCAGGAGCCACACTGCCCCTCCTGCACTGCGGGCCCTGCTTCCCAGCTCTCCTTCCCCCCAGGTTATCTTTTGCATGGTCCCACCTCGTCCTGGGAGTGTTTGGCTTTCGTGGACCTAAACATTGGCTTCTGGGATTAACCCTTGTGAGACCTTCTTTCATTTATTCATTTATCCTGCATGTTTTAAGTGCCTGCCAGTGCCAGGCACTCTGTTAAGTGATGGAGAGTCAAAGACAAAAATGAAGAGTCTCTCTCCTCAAGGAGCTTCCATTCTCCTGAAGGAGAAGGGGAAACAGGACATATATAAGGAAATTTATACGAAATGGTTTTCTTTAGAGGGAGAAGGACGACAGCTATGATTTCATCTGCATAGTAGATGGAGCTTCTGGCATGAAGAACTCCCTCCACCAGTGCAAGTTGCCACCTGCTCCTGGAGAGTCTTGGAGTCTTGGAGAGATACCTCAGGCCCTGAGAAGTTAAACGACTTGTCCAGTCATACAGACAATACTGTGCGTGTCAGAGACAGAATTTGAACCCAGGTCTTCTTAACTCTCTACTATGTCATGATTCCTCTGTACAAAATCTATATCTAGACTAGGGAGGGGGAAGCATTGGCAGTTGGGGTGGGGAAGGGGGTGGGGGTCGGGAAAGGGCTCACATAAAAAGTGCCCCTTGAGCAGAACTGTGCAGGAACTAGAGATTGTGAGGAGGGAGGGCATGCCTGGAGTGTGGGGCAGCCTGGGCTGGGGCAGGAGGAGATGGAGTGGCGCATGTGAGGAGCAGCTAGTGGGACAGTTTGGCTACACTGCAGAGTACAGGACGGGGAGTAGTGATTGGTGCAAGTTGTGAAGGGCTTCCTGCAGCAAAGATCCGAGGCCTGACAGGGATGGTCACAGTTTAGAGCAGGAGGGATGACGTGCACAGAAATGGGCCTCAGAAACATTCCTGGAGCAGCTTTGTAGAGCCTGGGCTGGAGTGGGAGAAGCCTGTGTCAGGGAGACTGCTTGGGATGCTCCTGCAGGGATCCAGGCCAGACATGATGAGGGCCCGAGCTGGGAGTGGGAGGGCTGGGTGAGTGAAGAGGAGGGGCCAGACACGAGAGGTCCTGGGTGCCTTGGAGCTTCGAGGAAATTCCGTGATGTGGTCAAGGAAGATTTCTGGAGCTCAGGAGCCACAGGTGTGCATGTGGCTGGCCCCCAGGTGTCCCAAGAACATGGGGGAGCAGGACAAGCTTCCAGAGCTCAGGAGCACTTTCTGGGGTTCAAGGAAGAGAGATTTTCTAGGCTCACTCCCACTCTTCCCAGCCAGATTAGGAGATTCCAGTTTCTGGGGTCCAGGAGACCCACATGCATGGTTTCAAAGGAGCCAAGTCAGCACTTGGGGTTGTTTTCCACCCTGGCAGTAGAGCTGGGGATATGTTCCTAGGTCCATGTAAGGGAACCAGCCAGTGATGGGAGGGCCGCAGAAGCTAAAATAATCAGGGCAGTGTCTCCATCCAAAGAAGGGCCAGCTCAGCCAGGAGCCCTGGAAGATCAGGGTTAGCGATGCCCCTGGCCTGGCATTGCAGGCCAGGTTGCCATGAGCAGCAGCGGGATTGGTCCCAGCAGAAGAGAGCAGAACTGGAAGCTTTGGCTTGGACAGGAGGAAGGAACAGGCAGTCGCCAGGAGCCCAGCCATGGCCCACGAGCCCAGCAGGCTGCATAGATCAAACCAGCCAGGACTTAGGAAGCCGGGCCAGCTGAATGCTGAATGCAGTGTCCAGGACACAGGCAGACAGTCTGGCTAGACAGCGAGGAAGAGCAGGGAAGCCTAGCCTGGAGGGTTAGCATTTAGGACCTGGGTTTGAGTAGAAGACCCAGGAGCAAGCATGGAACTCGTGCTGAGCCAAGGACATCATACGTCAGGAGCCTCTTCTAGTCTCGGGACCGAGAGCCAAAAGTCTGCGAGTCTGGGCAGGCCTGTGCCCACAGAGGCACACTTCACTGGAGCAAGTGAGAAGCCAGGCACTGCCAGAGGGGCTTCTCCCTGCCAAGCTGGCAGGGCTTGTCCAGAGGGCAGGTCCCCTGAAGGCCTGGCAAGCCCCTTTCCCAAGACCTGTCATGCCTCGAAGGGTTCTCTCCTCAAAGAGGACTTGGCGGGGGGCGGGGGGCACACGATGTTGTGTTTAGTTCGGTGAGACGGCTCTCTGGCCACTGAAATGCCAGACCATCAGTAAAGAAATCCCAGTTTCCAGCTCAGGCTCCTGGATCTCATTCTTGGGCTGTAGCGCTCCCTGTCCCTGGGAGGTCTCGGAATGAGCCCGTGGGGCTGACTCACAGCTGCTGCCTTCTTTTCCACTCCAGTTTCTATGGAAATAGACATCACCACAGACAAGGGGAGGGCTTCTAAGTGTTGGCGGTTCCCTAGGTGTTTGTGAACATTGTTTGTACCAGGGTCCATTTCTATGGAAACGGAGGCAGAAGAGGAGAGGCCTGGGCAGTGGTACAGTTGACTGTGCCCCCAGGAAGGCGCCGTTTGTTGAATGAAAAAGTGATGTAGATGTCAGTGAACCAGTCCCTTCCACCATCAGAGCAGGAGACAGAGAAGCACATGTAAAATATTAATGATCCAGTTTAGACCCATCCACTTCCTGCTCCTTAGACTTCTAAGTGCTGCGTGCATGATTTCATTTGAAAACTGGACTTAATAAAATATTGTCTGCTGCTCCCCTTTCTTAACATCCTCTGGGATTTAAAGAAGAAGGTGTTGCCACTTGTGGTAGGCCCAGAAAAAAATGCATGGGTGTCAGTGCCACACTGCCATGTGCCTCAGCTCTTAGGGACATTTGACTGCCTCATTCATAAGAAGGAGATTGGCCAGAGCTGAAGGCAGGTGGCGCTGATCATTGTTCCTTTGTTGGTTGGTGGCTGGTGGACTGTGTGACTATGGTGTGGTATGGCACAGTATGCCTAGGACATTGGGTATTCTCACCATTCATAAATAAATGAGTCAGGCCTCAGTTTCCTCCTCCAT